TATATATATAAAGGGGAATATCCTTCTGATCCTATTTTTAAATTAGTTAGCAAGGACAAGCTTCTCTAGATTGCTGGATGTCTCCTTTGTGACCTCGTTTCAGCAAAGCACTTCAGCACATGTTTAACTTTAAGCAGATGAGTTGTCTACCTGCTTAAAGTTAAGCATGTGCTTAAGTGGTTTTCTGAATCAGGGCTATCAGAAACTAGCATTTCTTTTTAAAAAATTTTTCTTGAATAAAGTGAAACAACGTTTCTGAAGTGGGGTATCTCCATTTCCACATCCGAATACTTATAAAACAAGGTAGAAGTACTCTTCCTGGCCAATGCATGTGGAGAGTGGGGATAATAGAAATCTGTCAGATCAGCTTTGAGGAAATGAGCAGTGTGTTAAAATGGCAGATGAGTTGCTGGTTCTGTCTATTAAGTCTCTTTAGTAAACTGCAACTGATTCAAATGATACCAACACTTGTAGGAAAGCCTCTTGGATCCAACCAGCATGAAACTGGGCTGTTGAGTATATGAGTGAAACATAGGATGTGCAAGTAGTGGAAGGGGGGACATTACACTTAAATTGCCAGAGCAAAGATGATGATCATCCTATGGGATGGAGCAAGGTTTAATAGCAACCAAATATTAATTCCACCAAGGGGCTTCCGTTAAAAAAAAAATCTGACTCCATAGTTTTGTGCCTGACTATTCCTTGTTTAAAATACACACCAAAAATTCAGCCAAACCCATTCAATCTGACAAAGCGTCCTCTCAGATAAGTTTGCTTCTGAAAAGTTCAGTTGACTTTGATTTGGGGGGGGCGGGGGCAATGTAATTATAGATAGTTTTACAATGTGCTATTTTTTTTAGACCATGGATGCAAAAATAGCTCCTACTCCTGTGCATCAAATTGGGTGCTGGAAGGGGGCAGTCTATCCTAATCCACTCTGGGTTCTAATGCAGAAAAAGCAACAATGGGAAATATTTTTGCTTTTACCCCCTACTTGCCTTCCCTTCATGCTGACTGCTGAGAGGTTTTTAAAAGCCAGTCTCCAGCACGAGTACATGGTCGGTTTTTACTCTTTATTTGGCACAGGGGAGGCTGGCTAGGCTTTTGAAATTTCTCAGCAGTCAGCAAGAATAAAGTGGGCATCCTAGTGGCAGGAGTAATTTTCAGCTTCCTGATAACAATTGGCAGAATGCTGGGAAAAGCTATTTAAGAATAAGTTTTGATTACGCAAGTCTATTTTGGCCTATATTTAATGAGATGTCAGCTAGAATTTACAATAAGTGATTAATTGTTAATCTCCATGTGCATGTTAGGTTTTCCACTGTTAGGTGTCTCAGGTCAACTTATTAGTACAAAGAAATACAGGAAGAAGCAGCGGTAAAAGATATTGTTAACTTTATACTAATATGTACGTATATATGTGTAAACAAAATTACTGAACACGTGTGTGTGTGTGTGTGTGTGTATACACACACTATTATTATGCATTTAAAAATGAATGTATTATAATCATCAAGATGTGCCCATATACACTGGATTTTATTATTGTGACCATTGTTCTTCCAACCCACTTCCACACATTTTCGCCCAGGCATGATTTTTATGTCATGTTTAAGCCTGTACACATGACTGGGCAGAGTCAATGTCTTGTTCCTGTGAAGCATCTAGCACAGTTTTGAATATTCAGTAATATTAGTTTTTACCTAGTACCCACATTCACATATGGACACAGACTTAGGACAAAGGTGGGCAATAAGCGACCCATGGGCTGGACACAGTTCTTCAGGTTATCTCCTAGTGGGCCATCGGGGCTAATCCTGGTGAATCATGTCCTCCCCATGAGTTGCTTATTGCTCCCTCCCCCAACTTAGGGAAAAGGGTAGATGTTTAAGCCACAAACTTTCTTTGTAACAGCTGCATTCGTTCCTCAGTTTTCCTTATATAAATGTGATAATACACCATCCTGTGAGGTGGGGAAGTATTGAGTATAAAGCTACACAAATTGGGACATATCTGCATATTAAATTGATGGTGGAGGTACGAGTAAGCATCTAGAAACATAGAGTGGACTGAACTCTTACTTTTATCCTGCATAATCACTTGATAAGCATAAGTCTAGAGCTCACTTTATTAAACTCCCAAACACTATGATTTCAGCACACATCAGAACTCAGATGAAATGAGTTTTATTAGTTGATCGAGTGAGACAATGTCTCAGTTGAAATCACTGACGAACAAAGTCTGGGTAACTCTGGAGCAATTTCCTCTTAGAGGAGGGACTGGGAGATGCCAGTTCAAGATAACACTCAATAGAAAATGAAAAGACAGTTGAGAAGACAGTGTTGCAAAACAGCTATGATAGCCCAGCCTCTGTGGGGCTATTTGGATGTCTTGTCATGCCCTTCCCCTGCCTCTCCCTCCCACTGTAAGAATAGGTTTGTGGCTGGCTTTAAGACAGCATGGAGAACTGAAACTTCATTTACATTTGAACTTTGTGAAGCTTTCACGGCATTTTGTGAAAAACCCTAAGAGATTACAAGCCACACTTTACAATGTTAGATCCTGACTGTTGCTATATCATATGCCAACAGCATTTCATTTTGTGATGCCCCTTTTCATGTTTAGAAAGGTCAGCATTATAGTCAGCAAGCCCTCAGTCTAACAATAACTTTTGAAAAAAAATAGTTCAGAGAAACCTCATTGTTTTGCAAGGTTGTAGTGTAGTGAAATTGCTTAATGGCCTTTCTCTGCTCCTATGTGAGCTGTCCTGTAGCTAATTGCACTACATCTCTGTCATTGTGGCTTTCTGCTCTATGAATTTGGTGGCCCTTCCACAAATTAAACTTACAGCACTAACTCTGGTGATTCCCTCATTTATTGGTTACCCTCTGCTTTGGTTTGTGGAACTATGGGGTCTAAGGTGTGGTCTCAGCACAAGTTTCATTGACTTATCTATGTTGGTTTGGAAAACGATTTATCTAAATCACCACAACCCCTTTTGTGAACATTCTTATTTTAATGTATGAGTGTCCCATATTGGTTTAGCTAAATCAATTGTGATATTTCATACAGGAAAAGCCTCTTAATAAATAAACTGGTTTCCCTTGCTAGGCGGGTAAGCAACACATGACTGAGAGTTGTAGAGGAGTTAAAGTGAGGTAGAATATAGTAACTTTATTAGGTCATTCTTTGAGGGTACTAGCAGTACATTTGAACATATCAATCAATAAGCACTTAAGTACTTTTGAAAACCTAGCCCAGGATTGGGGAACCTGGGGACTGAATGTGGCCCCCAGCTTGCCCGGATCTGGCCCCTAGCACTTGGGGAGCCCGTGCTGACTCTCCAGCTCATCACTGCCCTACCATGGGGCTGGAACACACAATTTACTAGCTTGGGCCCCCCAGGCTCTGGGTATAAGGGGAAATGTGGGGAGTGTCTTGCTGCTTCTCAGTTGGGGCCACATCACTTAGGGGCCAGAGGGGGGAGGTTCCTTCTCACTTGTGAGAGGCTCCTGACTGATTTTTGTGTGGATCAGTGGCCCCTGACTCAAAAAAGGTTTCCCACCCCTGACCTGGCCCTTGAAAATTGGTGCTGAATGTGATTTTTCAAAACCTTTCCATAGAGATGGAGCTGGGAGTTAGGATCTTCCAAGCACCTGTTAGGCATCTTTCTGCATCTTTAAGCACCTAAATCCATACCAAAAAAAATTGCCCAAAGAGCCCAATGCTGCTGCCACTTTGGTCAATGGAGAGACCCATTGAGTTCAGTGGTGAAGGTCTAAGACGTAAGATCTCACCAACACCTGCATTACACAAGAAACCAACTCATTAGCAGGTTAGGATCCATTTAATTTCTCCCTGAAAAAGGAACCATGAACTCTCTCAAATAACTCTTGCATGCAAAGACCTGTGAGTGTGCCAGTGTTGAGCAGTCCCTTACTCCCTGTAGTAGATCCCAGGATTTCTCATGGAGTCAGATAGTGCTCATTGTTAGAATTGGGCCCTGTGTAAGCAGAGAGGTCTCATAATTTGCAGTATTGCACAAGGTAAGAGAAGTATCCTATTCCCTCCAAAGAAAAGAGGCAGACATGAAGTGAAAGGCTTACTGCCACTGCGGCTTTCATATCTGTCTCTACCTCTTGCCTTTTTTTTTGTTTTTACATACGCTGCTTTGAAGATTTTCTTATACAGGCAGTCCCCGACTTACACGGATCCGATTTATGTCGGATCTGCACTTACGAACGGGGCTTTTCTCGCCCCGGAGCTCACGGGCGGCGGGTCACCGCCCGTGTCCTCCGGGGCGAGAAAAGCTGCTCCCTGGTCTGCTGGGGGGGTCCAGCAAAGCCGCTGGACCCCCCCTCCCCCAGCAGACCAGGGACACCCGAGCAAAGCCACCGCCTGGGCGGCTTTGCTTCTGTCCCCCTGGTCTGCTGGGGGGGGCCAGCCAAGCCGCTGGACCCCCCCAGCCAAACAGGGACACCCG